GCAACTGCCATGTGATTGGTTGATTAGATAATTGCATTAATGAGAAATTGAACAGGTGTTCCTAATAATCCTTTAGGTGAGTGTATATATACACACACAAACACATTCATATACAGAGGCCTCAAAATTACACACATTCTTCACTCAAGTATAAGTTTTTAAAAATACTCTAGTAAAAGTTAAAGTATTGACCTCACTTTTTTTTACTCAAGTTAAAGTGAAAAGTACAGGCTCTAAAACATACTTCAAGTATGAAAGTATGATGTACCCTTGCAAAGGACAAAACCACCATTTTAGGGCAAAGCTGATTGGACTCCATGTCCAAGCATTATGTAAAACACAAGCAGAGAAAAATAAAGCCACATAAATACTTAAAGCTCCATTGGCCATTACCATCATTATATATGATTGCCTTTTTCCTGAACACATCATGCAAAAAATATTATGGTACTGTAAAAGACTGAGGGATTACAAACTCAATGTGCATGGCGTTCAAAAAACTTTATTTGTATGCAAATATATTAGTTCTTTGTGTAAACCAGAAGAACTCAGGCACGCACCATAGGACTACCAGAACCCTCTGTTTAGCTTCAAATAAAGCTGATTTTCAAAGCTCTTGAAATCAACGCATGCCCTTTCCGGTATGAATATCAGTCCTGCTGTGCTGAACAGTGTCTTGCACGCAGCTGAGGCTGGTAGTGGAGTGTTAAGCCTCAATGACAGGTTGAATACTGTCGGGAAAGACTCCGCTAACACTCTCCAGTTTTATTAGACATTTCGTCGAATTACTTTCTTTTCAAGCTTCTTTCTTCCACTTAATCGATGTCTTTTCCCACCGAGTTACCGCCTGGTTTTAGTCTCTCTCGCTTTATCGTGTCTTTCGTGTTGTGCGTCACGTGCAAAGACTAATACACCAATGGGACTGTCTTTTTCTGTGCGTGTTTACAAATGTTTCTAAGCCTCAACCAATCAGTAGAGTTGTCTGCATGGCGCGTATTATTGATTCAGAATAGGTAAAATGCATGGCAAAATGCCCTAATAAACGTCATTTAAATTAAACGAACCAAGAGTATTGAGCCTAATTTGAAAATGTAAGGAGTAGAAAGTACAGATATTCATGCTAAAATGTAAGTTGCGTGTGTGTGTGCAAGTGAAGTACACATTTCGCCCTAAACGGCTCAAGTGACGGTCTCCGTGGTGTGATGAGGTTGTGGAAGTGATGTGGTTCTTTGAAGAAAAAAAAAAATTCCCGAGTGTTTTTCTCGTAAATGTACTACTTTACAATCTCAGACAATATCTGAGATTGAAATTTATTTCTCATAAATTTACGACTTTAATCGAGGAAATTCTGAGTTTCTGTTCTCGCAAATCTACGACTTTTCAATCTCAGGTAATATCCGAGTATTTTCCTCGTAAATTTACGAGTTTCGTTTCGGAAATTCTGGAGTTTTTTTCTCGGAACTTTATCCCATTCCTGCAGCTATTTTTTTTCTTATTTTTTCTTTTCGTAATACGCCGTTGTAGAAAATCCCTAGTAATCAGATATCTATTGTTTTTATATATGTAGAAATGTATATTTTTTATATTTTTCGATGTGTGCATAACAGTGACATCTAACCATATATTACAAATATTATCACTGGATTAAACGTGTTTACAGACTTGGAAAACGAATATACGGTAACCGCCTGCAGTACAGAATGAAAATAGTATAATATATACGTTATAACATAATATTATTGAAGTGTTCGTGTAGTTTATGTAACAGGGAACTTTAAGATTGCAACACAGTATTTCAAATTGATATCAGTGATATGGCATTAAAATAATAATTATTTTAAAAATATCATATCAGTTCCCGCATTCCGCGCCATTCTACCCTCAATCATCTCTTCGGGGGTTTCCACCTCTATTCTATTGATTACGGTAGGAATGATGTCTCACAGTTCTGTTGATGCCTTTCCGGTCACGTGTGTGGCCCCATGACCACATGATGTCATAGCAGGAAAGGGAAGAGGGTCAGCTTTGGGCACTTTCGGGTAAGGATATAAACATCATAAAACTACATTGCTAATCAGCTTATTGTATAAATATTTGGCACGAATCTCTTATAACTGCTGATAACACTAGCTTATAACACTAGCGAGCTAGTGTGCCCAGCTTGGTGTTACGGCAATGCATGAAGACTATTGACATTAGCTCCGTATTCTTCCACAGTAATATTTCGTTTCGATTCCTGCTCACTCGGAATAACCTACCCTGGAAGAGGCACTGCCGTTTTACCCGATCACTCTGGCAGGTGTAATATCATTATCTCTTTCCTACCCGTAGCCAGCAGAAAATCAGAGGGTACTTAGAGGCAGCGCAAGACGGGAAAAACCGATGACTCTCCTCCATCTAATAGGGATGTGAGATGTACATTACCATCTGTAGTCGCTTCTGGCCGTCGCTGCTGGCGACCTATTTAAGTGCCTCATGCTTGTACTCCCGCGGTTAATCGGGATCAGACACTGGCGCGGGTCCTGCTGCGGGAATTTCCCAGGACGTGATGAGCGTATACAGCCGCCCATCGTCACTGATGTAAAAGTAGCCTCGCGGCTGAGCCTAGGGTTCTAATGTGCCAGGTTACTGTAAAGCAGGTAGCGACCTGACGGTCCCCGTAGGATACCCGGCATCTAGTATTTTACTGATGTAACAGGTTGGGGGTAAGTTGTAGAATTACAAAGAGCAATGTCTTCCTTTAGCCATATAAACATGTGCATGACATGCCTATATATGTGGAGAAATGCTAGCTGAGCATTGAATTTTTATTATAACAACACACGCTGGTGTTTGAGTTAAAGTGGATATTTACAGCAATGAATCGAATGGTTCAGTTTGACATTTTGTTCTCATTTGTCTTTAACATGTGGACCTACTGTTTCAATACGCATAAAAATGTTCTTTTCTTTCTTTCATAATAAGGCTGAATTCCCACTGCCCAGCGACTCTTAAAACTCAGCAAAAAAAGTGAACGCTGCTCGCAGCGCAGGTAGAGCAATCATGCAGAGCACGAACAACTACCTGTGGCTCATCTCGGACCTCCTGGGCCAGGGAGCGACTGCCAACGTGTACCGGGGGAGGCATAAGGTCAGCGGGGGTCTGTACTGAAAAGCCACCTTCATTTCAAAAACCACCCATTCACCAACACACGATTTACCAGAAAAAAGCTTGTCTGGATATGAGGTTTTACAGTCATTGGAGAACCTGGGTTGTGAGTCGTTCTGAATTATTTTGTGGATGTTTATTCTAGTGCTCTTTTAGGGTTGTATAGGACCTTTTTACTTTATTAGGAGGTTGGCCAGGTGCAAGGTCTAGCAGGTAGTACAGTGGTTAAGTAAACAGGCATGTAACCTGAAGATTGTTGGTTTAAGTCCCAGAAGTCGTCCATCTGTTGTACTCTGGAGCGAAGCAATTAAGCTGATTTTGTTCCAGTGAAATATTTAAATATAAAAATGAGTGAACATGCGTCTTTTAGGGCGCTTTTCCACCGCACCAGGTATCGCACTTTTGGTACAGAACTTTCAGTATTTTCCCCAGAAGTTCCAGTACCTAAGTATCAGACCAGCTGGGGTACTTTTTTGGTACTTCAGTAAATTGGGGTGGGACTTGCGAATGCTTTTTTTTGCCAGTTGGTTATGCAAATAGCCTGCCGCTAAATACAATACAACTGCTGCCTTGAAAAAAGTTACGGGCTCAGAATACAACAAGAAATGAAGTCAAAGAAAAAACAATTTAGTAATGATGGATGTAGGGACCAATGAAGAGACCCAAGCCTAAATTGTGATCTGGTTGGAAGAACAGATAAGAAGTTCAGGATGGCATGACAGTTTTTTTTTTTTTTTAAAGAAAAAGCTTGATCTTAATCCATCTGACTAGTGATGTATACATTTCATGTGCATTACATGCAATGTTGGTGTTAATATACCACATGGTCTAGCCATATAATATACTACGGCCATTTTTCAAACTCATTACAAAATACCTTGTCTTGCGCTGTGACATAATTCAGCGCCAGTACCAGTATTTACTCTAGTGGGGAGAAAAAAATCAAAACTTTCCTGAAGTACCAAAAGTACGGTACCTGGTGTGGTTGAAAGGTTCCCGTAATGATAGAGAAACTGGACATGTATGGATAAGGAACACCCAGGCCTGCTGCTGACACTAAGCTGGGTTAGTCAGGCCTGAGTAGTGTCTCAAAGGACTATTTCCATCTCATTTTGGGATTGGTTTTTGAGGATAACCATGCCGTATTCCAAACCAAAGTAGGTTAGCTCACTGTGTGTTTTTTAAAGGCTACATAGTTTCAGTTTCACTTATCTGTGTGGTGGTGTGTTTGCTATGTGTCTCATAGGCATTCAGTGTTACTGCAATGCCGATTCGATGTGTTTCCCTCCGCTGTGAAGTGTAGCTCTTAGCGTCCTTAAGGTGTGGACCGATCTCCGTATCACATATCCCTGAACTGGTCTGTCGGTACTGCTAGACATGTGAGCGAAGTGATAGTCTCTCACATATTACCGGCCTACTTGGCTTGAAAGGTTACACTGTGCTGCATTGCAGAAAAACAGGTTTTATTTTCTTGGCCGTGGAATGAGATGTCTGAGTAGCTGTAAATATGAGTAGTGGAGTGCAGGTTTTAGTTTCTTTCATTCTGTGTCTCTCTGACTTCGGGAAACCATGTGAAGCATGTTGTAACTTTTTCATTGTTGAGCTTCAGCATGAGTACCATTTTTTTCAACTGGTTGAGGTAAAACATACCAACACGTTCAGTGTCCTGACTCGCCGTAGTTAGTGTGAAAATAGGTTCATCCTATGTGGGTGCTGACGCCTTTTTAACCGTGCCAGACGTCCTAGCATCACATGAATGCTGATGTGTGCTAAGATCCTCTATGGCTTTCGTTCACCCTGTTCATCGCTTTTCAGCCCCATAGCTGTGTCTGTGTTTTGACTTGTTGGTTTTAGAGGTTTATTTTCATGCAAATGTGGAAGATAAGGCTCTTTTGGTGAGGAGATGGTTGAAACAGATATATTTCATTTACAAGTGATTAAAGAACTGGATGTGTGACTGTGGTGAGCTGTCTAAGTGTCCTTGGCCTAGGTATGGATGATGGAGGTTCAGCACCATTTTTACCTCTTGGAGGCTGAAACTATGTGGATCATCTACAGTACATAAAGAAAGGGAGCTGCTGAATGGGCATGACAATAAGCAGTTAAGACTTGCATACAATTTTTCTTCCTCATATGTGATGTGATGAAATGTCCTTGTCTAGAAAACAGGAGATCTGTATGCCGTCAAGGTGTTCAACAACCTGAGCTTCCTACGCCCCCTGGATGTGCAGATGAGGGAGTTTGAGGTGCTGAAGAAGCTCAACCACAAGAACATCGTCAAGCTGTTTGCTGTAGAAGAGGAGGTGGGCCCTTAGCTCATCTGATGACCCATGTGTTCCCTCCTGCATTAAGTGTTCCTGTTTTATTTGATTAGCTCCAGAGTGACAGACTTGGCCTTTTCAAGGTGCCATAGGCACAAGTAAAAGTAACTTTTTATGGCTGTTGGTGAAATGTCTCTATTAGGTACACAGTGGTGAGAGTATTCATTTAACTGCCAATGATGGCTCAGAAGATCTTGAGAACAAATGTAAAGGCTTACAGGAGGATTTGGAACCTTTCAGTCGTGTCCTGTTTCAGGACATCACAGTGCAGATTTTTAAGTGGTAGATTGTAGGGTTGTCACAATACTACAATTTCAAACTATACTGATACCCAGGAAAATTCTCAATACTCAGTCCTATTTTTATACTATGGGTACTGTTTCTGTCTAGTTGCTAGTTCAACTTTTCTCAGCTTCAATCTGGGACTTTAAGAAAAACATAAGAAATAATTGTGCTATCCTGTAAAATAAGCACTCAACGTTACAGATAGGCAAGATAACCTTTGCTGCCTACCTCCTATATTAACGTTATCGTTTTTTTATTAGCCATAGTCGCTACCTTAACTTCATTAAGAAACAGTTAACGTAGCTATCGTAATACTATAGTAATTTTGTAATAATTAAACGGCTAATATTAACGTGTTAACATTCATGATAACTGTTTAATACTTCATTGTTGTTGAAACAGGAGCTTTACTGACCTCTTGAAATTCCTTATAAAGACTGGGGTGTCGGTCTGTAAGATGCTTCGTCAAGTTTGCTGTGCTACTTGACTTTGTCGCCCCCACTTTGTCGCGTCGTTTGCATACATGCTTACCGACATCCTTAGCCTTTCCCTGGTCGTTTGCCTCATATGCAAAATACTTCCAAAAGGCACTTTTGCTTTTTTCATTCTCAACTAAAACTGTTCGTGAAGTCCCTTCAGCAGCAGTGCTTGCCACGTTCATCCAGCTCAGTGTTGTTAACGTCAGCTAGCGTTCATGTGTTCAGGGTAGGGGCTGTGTGAAGCTGAGCGTCAACTGGAGGAGGCGAAGATGGCACTTCTGGTATCAATACTGTTGCAAATGAGTATCTAATCCGATAGTAATTTTTTTGTATTGATTAGTACCTGAGTATTGATTTCTTTGACAATCCTAGTAGATTGTAAATTGAAGTTGTTCTCGAGTAAAATATCCAGGTTTATATAAATAGATTAAAATGGTCTGTCACTTAAGTGCCATTTGAATCACTAAACATAACGTAAAGGTGACAGTCACCATTCCCCTGGCACTGTCAAATGGCGGTGGGTAATGCGTGTGTACCTTTCAGACCAACACGCGCCACAAGGTGCTGGTCATGGAGTATTGTCCATGTGGCAGCCTGTACACCGTGTTGGAGGAGTCATCCAATGCGTACGGCCTTCCGGAAGACGAGTTCCTCATCGTCCTGCATGACGTGGGTGAGTGTGTCACATTTCCCCCTGCCACAGTAACACCCTTCTGCTGGCTGTACAAATAAAGCGATAATTTATTAAATGTTCATGTGTTTCGCACTCAGCTTAAGGGTTGGGTACTTCCATGTAAGAACCTGAAATGAACGTGTGTAGAGTAAGGATGCACTGGTGCGCAAAATTCAGGTTTTGGTACAAACCTCTATTTTGGGTTCATGATTTAGTGCAGTTTTGATACAGCAGGGAAAACTGAATTCATTTTGAAATTTTTTATTACTAAAACTACTAAAATTGCAAATGCAATTAAAGACGGTTCTAAACCAAAGGCAAAGTGTCTTATTTTCAAATCGGAAAAGTAAATATGTAAAATAAATAGAAATTCAAAAATGAGACTACATCATAACAATCATAATCAACTAAATTTATCAGGAAACCAAAATGTTTCCAAACCAACAATTATGACTGACTGTAACCAGCATTAGCCATAACCAGCTCACAGCAACAACGAGCATGATGATTTCCCTGAACATTTACTTCTGAATTTAGCCTTTACCTGTGTCAAGAAATGTATTTGTTTCATTGTGCGTACCGGGCCTAAAATCATTTTACTGAATAGCAGACGATGAATACGTGTACTGTAACAGCTGTAGCGTAGGGTCTTCACATGAGGATGAAGTTCGGGTCTTTTTGATGCTGAAGGTACGTGATTTTTGTGGAGAGCACGTCGGCTGCAGACAGTAACTCTGTACTGGCATTTCAGTGGCGGGTATGAACCACCTTCGGGAGTATGGCATCGTTCACCGTGACATCAAGCCGGGCAACATCATGAGGATGATCGGAGAGGACGGTCGTTCCGTTTACAAGCTGACGGACTTCGGGGCGGCCCGTGAGCTTGATGACGATGAGCAGTTTGTCTCCCTCTATGGGACAGAGGAGTACCTGGTGAGCAGTCAGGGAACTTGGGGAACTTTCAAGAGAAGCTTGGTAAAATGTTCCAAGGTGTTTCTGGGTGATATGTTAGCCTTTAGCTGCTCATGACCCAAACACGTTGTCTGCTAAGATGTGGGTGGCTCCAGAACCTTCCTGACCAGGTTATTCCCTCATGTCTTCCAGCACCCGGACATGTACGAGCGGGCCGTACTCAGGAAGGACCACCAGAAGAAATATGGTGCCACCGTGGACCTGTGGAGCATTGGAGTGACCTTCTACCATGCTGCCACAGGCAGCCTACCCTTCAGGCCCTTCGAGGGGCCACGCAGGAACAAGGAAGTGATGTAAGACAACCCTTCCTCTCCCATCAGCCCCATTGACATGCCCTGTCTTGTATAATCCTGTATAATCCTGATTTTATGCCTTACTGCTGCAGTACATTTTTGAAGCTTTCTTTTCTCCTTTTTTGTATTTCCTTTTTCTAAGTGAAACAGAAAATACTAATTCTGTGAAAACTATGGCTGCCATCTTCCTCCCAGGTACAAGATCATCACGGAAAAGCCTCCTGGTGCGATTTCTGGGCTGCAGAAGTTTGAGAATGGCAAGATCGAGTGGAGCTCAGAGATGCCTGTGTCCTGCAGTCTGTCCAAGTATGTGCTTTTGTCAGGACCTCCGTAGGCTACAGAAATGGGCTGCGTTTGGATCAGTGTTTCCCTGTCTGGTCTTTGGGAACCCGGCGGGAGCAAAAATGTGGACCGTCTGTAGGTCCCCAAGGACTGGGTTGGGAAACACTGCTTTAGATCCATTAGAAGGGTAACTATAAAAAGCTATCAAAAATAACTGGTTAAACTGTGTCTATTAAACACATCAGTGCAGTAACCAAAGGTGTGATTGTGCTGTTTTTCACCCATAGTTTTTGCACTGTCTGTCACTCAGGGGCCTGCAGAGCCTTCTCACCCCTGTTCTGGCCAACATCCTGGAGGCGGACCAGGAGAAGTGCTGGGGCTTCGACCAGTTCTTCGCCGAGACCAGTGACATCCTGCACCGGCAGGTGGTCTACGTGTTCAGCCTGCAGCAGGCCACGCTGCACCACGTCTACATCCACGAGTACAACACGTGAGTCGGTCGCGTTCGGGAGGCCCTCTCGAATGACGGTCAAAAGCGGGTCTGTGACTCGCTGTGGCTCCCTTGGGCTCCCGTCAGTTCGACGTCGCCGTTCTCTCTGTGTCCACAGGGCAACGCACTTCCAGGAGTTGCTCTTCCGTAGGACCAACATCGCGCATGCCAACCAGGAGCTGATATACGAGGGTCGCCACCTCATGCTGGACCCGAACCGACAGGCACAGAGCTTCCCTTGCACCACCCAGGACAATCCCATCATGCTGCTAAGCCGCGAGCTGGTGGGCACCATCGGGCTGCTCTTCGAGGACCGTAAGCCCCGCCCCCGCTGTCCATCACTGCTGGTTACCCAACAACCTGTCAGCCTAGGTTTCCACTCCTTTGTACAGCAAGTACATTTACTGGAGTGACTGAGATTAAATAACATGTCCGAGGCTATAACGGCTGATTTATGGCCTTTGTGGTGTTCACAGCCAAGCTGTTAGTTTTTATTTTTTAACGTGACAGTTCCTCCTAAACTCAGAACACATCTAAACCGTACGAAGTATGTAAAAGCCATTTATATAAGAGTCGTGTTGTGGATGTACAGACTATCCCTGAGGGGTTCTGTTGCAACAGGCAGGTCAAAATGGAGGCATCTCGGTAATAGTGAATTGTGCTTTTTTAGGTGTGAATATGAGGCTGGGATGGTTGTGTTGCGGTACAGTCTGGTATTTTTCCGCGGCAACTGTTGTAAGCTGCAGTGTGCATAGAGTAACATAGTGCTGCCGTGAGTAGGTTGTAAGTCAGGGACCATATGTAATTCCATGATCCTTTCTCCTGCATAAGGTGAACTTTGATTTGGGGAAGTGAATCTCTTCTTCCTCCGAAGATGGCTTTAGTGCAACTGCTGGTTTAAACATGCCATATGCACGTTTGCATGGCCTCATTGCCATCCCTCTGTTTCCTCAGCGAGCCCCCCAAAAGTGCAGCCTCGCTACGACCTGGATCTGGATGCCAGCTACGCTAAGGTAGGGACCGCTGTGGGCTTCTGTCTGGGAGGGTGGCCCATGAGGGGCCTCTTTACCAAAGACTCCCTAGATCGCTATTATTCAAATCACGGTCCTCAAGGTCCTGCTGGTTTTCCAGCCTTCCTTTACCTGTGAGCCAGGTGTGAAGCCTCTGACCAATCAGAATCAGTAATTATTAAAATAACTGCCTGGAAGAACTGAAAACAAGGCCTGGATTTGGAATCGAGTCCAGATTTGAAGAACCCTGCACTAGATGTTCCTCTGAATAGAGTCAGTAGATCTTTTGTTTTAGGAGCATCTTTACCACATGCAGTTTAGTTATTTGTGGTATTTACGTTCATGTCACCACGTAAATGGACTGCATTTATATAGCGCTTTTCTACTCCTACGAGTACTCAAAGCACTTTACAATACATGTCTCACATTTACCCATCCATACCACACATCCACACACCAGTGGCGGAGGCTGCCATTGTCAATCTTCCTCATGTGGTGGGGTTATAATTTGTGCTGGCTTTGGATGTACACTGTCAGAAAAGAAAGAGTACAAGTTTGTACCTTTGCGTGTCACTGGGACTGTACCCCAGTGACGAACTGTACTGAGGGCTGTACCCTCAAGGGTTTTAAGATAAAGAAATGGACTATGAGGAACATTTTTGTACCATTGGGGGTACGTTAATGTTGTTTGTACCAATGGGATGTTCCTCAGAGTCGATTTAGATACCTTAAATTGCACTAAAAGGTACATTTACCTACAGCTAGGAACTCTTTCAGGTTTTTTTGTAAGGAACTCTTCCTATTCCCCCCAGACCTTCGCCGGTGATGTAGGCTACCTCTGGAAGACTGCAGGCCAACTTCTGCTCTACCAGGAGCTGATGCGGAAGGGAGTCCGTGGCCTCATGTAGGTTCAGTGACGCTGTGCTGTTTGCTCTTTGTCCATCTGTTGCTCCCTAAAGCATAATGCCCGTATCTTTAGAACAAAGACCTTGCCCCCATAAACCATAGGAACCACATCGACCAGTCAGGCTCATAGAGTAAGACATTCTGCAAATTAGTCATCAGTCGAAACAAGGCTTTTTGTTGAGCCATCCGTTATATTTATTTACCACCAACTAGGTGAAGTGTTTAGAAACCACTATGAACCTTGATAATAAGTGATTTGAAACTAAGTCAAGTTTGACTTTTGAGGGCTGACCTTTGAAGGCCACCTCATACTTCACTTTTCTGCCTATGCTTTTGGCTGTGGATGAGGGGATGAGGGTAAGTCTCATCATATGAGGTTGGATGCCGATGGCTGCGGTCGGTGCTCGTCCGGCCCAGATCTTTGTCTAGCCCAGGGGTCGGCAACCTTTTTAAAGCAAAGAGCCATTTTTTCCTAAATATCTGAACCAAGATTTACAATGAGCTGCAATGGGTAGAGAAGGGAGTTTGAGATACGATTTTTAATGTGATATGGGCATATATGCATTTACCACAAAAACAAAAGTTCAAGTACTTACAAAAAATAAAGAACCAATTTCGGGGGGCATCTCAGTTTTAAATCACTCAGACATATAACAGCGCAAAGGTCACTTATATTACCATTTTGTTCAGTTCTGTAGCGATAGTCTTTACCCTCAGCCCTTCTTTCGTTCGGCTCTGCAGTCATCTGCCCTTCACTCTTCTCTTGACTACTGCTGTGCTGACGAGCAGTGCAAATGTAGTCACAACTCAGCTGGCTATAATATGTAAACCGGAGGAAATATAATAATTTTTACGAAGACCTGGGAAGGCGTGATGACAATTTACTGCAAAAGTATATGAAAGAGTTAGGAATCCCAATAAATGTTGAAGCGTACATCCAATCTCAGGTACTAAAGAAAACTCCGGAAAGCATACCATTTGACCGGAGACGTACTCTCGTTATAAGGAATGACTTTGAGGAAGATGTAAATGACACCGTTAAAACATCACAGAAGCGTGTGATGGACTGCCTCATTCACATATAGCTAAAGAAATATCTAAATGAATAATAATATTAACCCATAAATAAAGTATTTATATTTACGAAAGTATTATCATAATTATGTTAAGACATGAAAATGTGAATGCGGCTATCGTACTGAGAAGAGCCGCAGTCACGTGGTCAAAGAGCCACAGGTTGCCGACTCCTGGTCTAGCGGAATTCATGCACATACATGCGCATCGACTGCGCATATGCAGTATAATTGATTGGGTGTTTCCAGTAGGTGGCAGCGTGGAATGTCAGAGGTCAACAACGAAAGAATAGTTGTTGTTGTTGTTGTTGTTGTTGTTTTTGTCGTGTTTGTTCTTGTTATGGTGAGCAGCTGTATGAGGAGTCTTGGAGGTATCTGAATATGAGATTTTTCATATTGTGCAGACATTCCGAGGTATATGGTGTTTTGAAAGGCAGCTCTATTAGGCCTGTCACAATTATTACATAATCGCCTGATTGGGATTTTTTGAACTGACCACAATTATTTTTTGCATAATTGTTAGAATCGTCTCCATTCATCTGTATGAAAGTAGCTGGATCAGACAGAACCGGTATATTTATATCACTATTTCCACATTGTTTTCTACCGTGTAGTGTTTGACTTGCGCTCATGTAATGACGTCATCTCGTTGCCCTTCTGAACTGATGCATACCACCTGCTCCATTCGTACCTCGCACATCTGCGCATGCACAGCATTATACCTCACAGCAAATCATCTGACGGTGCCTGATTAGTACTACCTCGTTTCACAACACTTTCATGACCCAGCCTGATTCCATTCGTATTTCTTCTCACAACTTAGTCAATATGATTTGCAGTAAAATGGCAGGATGAGCAGATTGAGCAGTGCAAACCTGCAAGGAAAATTCGGGCAGATGGTATAGATGTCGAGGCATTTGTTAATGTCATATCAGGCCTGTACAATTTTTGTTTACAAAACTTAAAAGGCACGTGTAATTTTTATGTTCCAATATTTAGTATTCAGTTGTTCATAAGATGTATATGTAATATTAAACTATGAGGCTACCTCAATGCTGATAATGTTATAAAATGAAGAGAAAAAGACAATTAATCACAATTATTTGTATGACAAGTAATCATCAACTAAAATGATCGTGACAGCCCTCATCACTGCTGTGTGCATGTACCGACCACAACCATCCACATCCTCTGCCAAATGGAGTAGGAACACTAGCTACAGTGCGCACAATCGTCCACAGCCCCGAAAGCAAACAAAAATATGGAAAAGTAAAGTATGAACTAGGTTTAACTACTTCTTGTCCTGCTTGTTGCAGTGAGCTTATGAAGGATGATTACAATGAGACGGTGCACAAGAAGGCCGAGGTGATCCACATGTGCAGCTACTCTACACAGACACTGGAGAAGACGGAGCAGCTGTGAGTCCTGGTCTGCTCATGCTCTCGACTGTAGCTCACATGTCCTGGACCTGTCTGAAATCTTGTTCTGTTGGGTCATGCTTCATCTCTGGGTCCTGTCCTCCTCTCTGTTCTGTAGGATCATGGTCCCACTTTGGGTCCTGTCCCCCTCTCTCTTCTGTAGGATCATGGTCCCACTTTGGGTCCTGTCCCCCTCTCTCTTCTGTAGGGTCTAATTCAGTCTTGTTAGTTGGACTCAGTTTAAAAAATGAGATTTAATGGTCATATCTGCATTATGTACTCATTTCAGGTGTGACGTTTTGACTCAGGCGAACTTGCTGACGTCCGAGTGGAGCGAGGTCTCTGAGATGCGCAAGAAGGTAATCCGGGTGAGTAGGAACCGTCCCAAAGGAGCCTCCTGCAGCTGCTCTCTCCCACTTTACTCGTCCGCCTTGCACAGGCACTCCATTGTTGTTATGAGCTTCTCACTCTTTGGGTCTGACCCCCTCCCCCCTTCCTCTAGCTCTCTAGCTCCCTGGCCTCCGTGGAGCAGACTCTGCAGGAAGTTAAGAAGATGTTTGCACCCAACAGTCTCCTGACTGATGTGTGGACTCAGCAAGTGGGGACCCACCCTGAGGACAGAAAGTAGGTGCAGTCAGACCATCGTTTGGGCTATTCAGTCTCAAATCAGGGATATATCATTCTACTTGTCTTTAATAAGCATAAAATGATTAGATGGTTAAAAAGCTGAACGTCTTTACATTCTACTGGTCACAAGCATGATGAATGAGATCTACACTACTCACACTCATTTTATTATGAAGTTGAAGTTGAACTTTATTGTTATCCCTGGGGGGGCAATTTGTTTTACAGTCAGCAATACTTAATAGACAGGCAACAGAGAACATTTTTACAGTAAAAACAATAAAGGTCACATTGATTTAACAAACCAATGGCACTTGGAATAAAATAATTTTTAAACCTATTTGTCCTACAGTTTGGTAATTCATATCTCCGGCCAGATGGAAGCAGCTTGAACTCCCTTGATAAGGCTTGGCTAGGGTCCGATATATGTATCTCTTCATTTTTGGGGTTCACATTATTAAAGAATTTAATGCCCGTATAAAAGGATCTTCATGTTCTCGGCCTACTCTGCTCAATAATGCTCATATAAGACTCCAGTTGGGTTATGTAAGGACACAGTGTCTCACGTCATACTAATGTTGACCTTTTCAGTGTGGAGAAGATTAAAGTACTCCTTGACTACATCACCGCCATCTACCAGCAGTTCAAGAAGGACAAAGCTGAGCGGCGTGAGTTTGTCCATCTGGGCGGAGCCTGTGATTGCTGTTTGCACAGGAAGCTTGAGGTCTTTGAGGTTTCTGACAAGGCTGCCCTCTCCTCCCCCTTCTAGGCCTGCCCTACAATGAAGAGCAGATTCACAAGTTTGATAAGTAGGCCTCTGTGCAACTGTCCGAGATTTCTTGGCCACATGTCATCATGGTAACGCTCTCCCCTCNGAGGTCTTTGAGGTTTCTGACAAGGCTGCCCTCTCCTCCCCCTTCTAGGCCTGCCCTACAATGAAGAGCAGATTCACAAGTTTGATAAGTAGGCCGCTGTTCAACTGTGAGAGATTTCTTGGCCACTTGACTCCATGGTAACCCCCTCCCCCCCCCCCCCCCCCACCACAGGCAGAAGCTGATCTTCCATGCCTCCAAAGCCCGCTCCCTGTTCACCGACGAGTGTGCCAAGAAATACCGCCAGTTCATCTCCACTGGTGACGACTGGATGAGGTGATGGAGCAATAGGAGTGCGAGTGCAGGGGGGTTGAGGCCGTGTGCAGATCAATAGGCCACATTCTGTGCCCCCCCCTGGGCATTAAGGGCCCCAGACCAGATCCAGCCCCTTTTACTGACCCCTGATGGATTCTTGTCTACCAGTTAAACATCCGATAGTCCTTTTAGTGTGCTCTTATTGGAACAGTAAATGTCAGTTATTCTTGACTGTCACCCCCTGTCAGTGTTAACAGGCAATTATTATTGCTCACTCAGACGTAAGAATATCCAAAAATCGATGCTAGCCGTTTCTCGAGATTTAAAAAACACTGTTGGTTTCATCTATTCATAATATGCCCCACCCTGACTTGAAGCCCTGGGTTAGGTATACTGTATAGCTGTCCTCGGTTATACTCGACCCTCACTGTAAGGTTACTAACAGTCAGCCGATTGAGTATAAATATCATTTACGACAATTTCAGTGCCTTGTAAAAATACCTGCACCTCTTACTGCTAAAAAAAAGCAAATTTGAACAGGAAGTACTATCCCTAACATACTACTCACTGGAAGGACAGGCATAGAAATACATGTACATTCAGAATTTGAGTTTCTTGAGATTGCTGCCTTGGTCTTTGTTCCTTTATGAAGCTGCTATATGTGCAAAGACTCAAAGTGAAACCTGCTTTCTCAGTAGTACCTTCCTCTTCTGTAACTGAACCCAAAAAATTACCCACAGTAGTTCTTCAAGTTGATGGTTCCTCTTTCTGTCACTGCTCTGAATTTCTGATGTTCAGTTTTCATGAAAACACGTTTGGTGCCTGGGCTTGGGCTTTGTGTTTTTTGGTGAGGTGGATGTTTAGGCAGAAGTTTTTGACACTGAATGCGGCTTTATTTTGTTTCAGGAAAGTGCATCATGTCAGGAAGCAGCTGCTAAATCTGACCAACCAGCTGATCACCATTGAGCAGGAAGTGTCTGTACTGGTCCAGCGAGTTTATAAAGTAAGCAAGTGTTAGGAGCAGATGCCAGTTTCCAGTAGTCGTGTCTTCAGTCTATATGCATTACTTTTATGTATAATTCAGAGTAAAGAAATTCTTCAGAGGTGGAAAGTTCAGGTCCAGAAGTCAAAATCCAGACCAAGATTTTGTTCCAACCAACCAGTTGAGTACTCTGTGAATGTGACTCTTCATACTCAACTAGTTGGTTGAAACAAAATCTTGGGCTGGATTTTTACCTCCTGGACCTGACCTTTTTACCTCTGAAGAAATGTACCATTTTCACACATACAGCCTAATACTGTACTGAGAAAAAAATCATTGCTATATGCTATAATAGGTGTAATTAGTAAGATGTGTGACCATGTTTGTATGGCTTTTTGGTGCCTTTGAGGAAATCCCCTCCTGTGGCTTCCGATTACATCTTGCTTCACACGTCGCTGTTTTGCTGCCTGCCACTTTTCGGTGCACCGTAGCACAAGCACAGATGTGCTGCAGCTCTGTGGCATCTGTGTTCTTGCAGTTACTGGAGCAACTTCCCCAGAAGATCATGCCAGTGGCATCGGGTGCGATCAAGCCCCAGATGTACCTGAACCAGAACACGCTGGTGGAGATGACACTCGGGTGAGTGTGCTCTGCCTGGTGACCTCAGCGTCCACATCTGCTGCTTAGGGTGCTGGGGCAGAAATGACTCCATACTGAGGGCTCTCATGCTCCATGTTTGGAAACCATTAATGAAGAAAAAAAAAAAACAATTTTTCAGGATGAAGAAGCTGAAGGAGGAGATGGAGGGTGTGGTAAAGGAGCTGACAGAGAACAACCACTTTCTGGAGAGGTGACACCATCCTTTTGATCTCAGGATCTTCACGTCTTATGTGTATAACTTCTTCTCTATATTCAGCATGTTTCTCTGCTATCCCCCTCTCTTCCACGCTTTAGATTTGGCTCCCTGACGCTGGATGGGGGCCTAAGGAACGTGGACCGTATCTAAGCCCCACGGACTGTGAGTTGGAGAACTGTAAGCACAGGACCACGTCCCCGGGTTCTCATATGAAGTCGGCCATGTCGTCATGTCTCTCCATGTACATAGACTGTAAATAACCTGAAAATATTTAGGTTCCTCGTATTTAATTTTCTATCTGCTGACCTTTTGCCCAAGCTCTCGTCCCTTAGCTCTGAGTAAATAGTGTAGGTTTCAGCTGGCAGCACTGATGTTCTGGCCGCGTTCGCAATAGATCACAGCCAGATTTATGCTCTAGTAGCTAGTTTGCGGACACACTTCGAGCCAGTGCGCTGTGAAGAAGCTGTTGATTGGACTCCTGTCAGTGCTTTCGCTGGTGAACATGTGGACTGGTGTAACTCAGGGCCAAAAGGCAGCAACATATTGATGTAAAATACACACTCTAGATGCATTTGGAGGTATTATGTTACTCTCTGAAGTACTGTGTGTTTTAGTCACATCCTGTCTATAAGAAAAGCCACCAAAATGATCACCTGGTTGAGTTATGATTTCCTAATATAAAAGGTGTTTTGCATTAGATATTAATGCATTAATGGAATATATGTTTGCATTAAGGATATGTTTAGTTGAATACTAATCAACCTGGTGTATAGCATTTTTCCCCTGAGAAATTGCGTCTGAAGGCTGATGAGGGGCCTCTTGTTGACCCTGTCCGTCAGGTCACCTGATCAGGTTGTTCCTTCCTCCTCCCTTTTTTTGATTGGTCCACAGCTGATTTACCCCACACCCCCAGGCAGTTTCATGGACTGCTTGTTGAGGGCTGTGTTTGGGAGCCGAAATAGCAGAATGGCTGCAGAAACCTCCCAGCCCTAAGCCAAACTCCATTTTCACATGTACAAATCAAGTGCCTGTAAAATTATTGCAAATTGTCAAGACATGTTAACCTAAAAGCACTTTCCTTAAATCAGACCTGTGAGACCTTCTTACAGCTTAGTATGGAACATGTATCTAAATGTCTTTTTCCCAATAAATACTTAATTTTTGACTATTAGATGGTTCTTGGCTGGAAAGTTATGACACACACACCCCCGCTCCCCATTTTTTTTGTGTATGTGCTGGTTTTATTTTCTGCTGAGAATTATTCTAATTTCATTCAAGTTATAAGTTAATAAATGTATACCTTAATATTCAGGCTGTACTGATAAATACTAAAAAGTAATGCATTTAATGTAGCGTTAAGCTAGTTTATATCAGTCCATCAGAGTGCGTAAAGGGTCAGCTCAATGTTTAGTTACAAATGAGTAAACCTGATTAAAAGCTTAGTGTGAATCTAATCAGTATGGATGAGGGTCCTGAGTATAGCCAGGATACCAAAATCCACACATGCTCAGGTCTGTTATATAAAATGGCATCGTATTTGCATATAACCTATGCACATCCTCCTGTGTACTTTAAATCATCTCTAGGTTACTTTTAATACTTAATACAATGCAAATAACAAGGGGAAATACAGCAACCAGATAAATGACCTTGATAATGTCTGCCTCAGGATCATATAATGAATTTTACCCAGCATCCTTGGTTATAAGCACAATAAAGCACTGTGGGTAAATTACAATGGAGAGCTTCTCCAGCATTCAGCCTCACCAATATGGCAAACCTGAAAGCGGAAAAAATGAATGAAGCTGCGTTACTTTTCAGAATGCCCCACGTGTGATGCAGCCTCCCCAAGTTACACTAGCATGAAGTGCTCGGTGCGCGGCAAATTCAAGTTCTGCTTTTTGGAATTTTCTGGGTGCCCCCCCCCCCAAATATTTTTGTTCGTGGTTGTTGAACCCATGGATGCAGAACCCCTGGATACGAAGAGCTGGCTGTAGTAGCTGGAAGATTCCCTGAGGTAAACATACATATGCTGCCCCTTATTCTCCTCCATTTTGTACTGGTTCTTTTTTCAAACACACACAATGGTTTGTCCTTTAGCTCTGCCTCACCATTCAGATTTGACTTCTACTCAGTGCCCAGTTTATTAGATGTACCGCCTCATTAACACAAACACCCTGCTCCTACCAGCAGTAAAACCTGTGGCAGCAGCTGGCTGCATACAGCACACAGACAGGTTCGCTTGTCTAAGTGAGTTTGAGCATGGTGGATTACTGTATCTCAGAACTGACCACCTATCTGGGATTATCGCTTGAAGTCATCCCTGCTCTACCCATACTAGCTTGGAGCACCTCATGAATTGGCCATAAGTGTATTTCAAAATCACTAATGAAAGCCCTCAGCCCCATGCTGTTGGCTTCTTTGGTGTGTAGCTGCTCTATGTCACAGGCTCTGCATCTTGGATGCATTCTCGCATTGTCCTATTATAGCAAAGGCTCTCGGAGACCCTGTGAAATGAACTGGACCGTAACAATGGGGGCTGTTCACCCCTCAGATCTTCCTTACTCAAGATATCTGCTTCCCCATCTGGGCTCTCCTCTAGCAAATGTTGCCACATGTCTGCAATATGTGTATGCAGTCTCATATTTCTGACACAATGAAAGTTTGTATGAGCACTCTGGGAATATGGTTAATTTTACTACTTTTATAGTCTCATGTTTTGTTCAAGCAGTCGGTTGAGGCTCCTTTTCAAGGATTTATAAGTTACAAGTATGCTGGTGTTTAGTCAGCCTGCAGTTGCTTTTTTAAAGTGAAAAATTATCATCTATTTGGTATAACCTGTATACTGAACCACCAATGTGGTCCAGCTTATTACAGTACATTCAATCAGGTATTCATATAAGAAGATATTTTCCCTGTTATTTAAATCTTTGAAAGTTCACCATCATGATTTTTCACGAGGTCTAAACCTTCAGGAAGCTCATGGTGAATAATCATATTGTGCCCCTGGACAAATTCTACTTATGTGTGTTTGGTGTATCAGTGAATAAAGGATCTGAATGCATGTTCGTGCAAGTTACTGAAAATGCACTCAGCAGGTGATAGTGGGTAAATGACCAAACCATCTGCAAGCTGTAGGACATGTTCACCGATTCAACATAGAACAAGAACTAACAAGTCTTCATTCTCCCCTGGGAGGGATGGAGGGATGGATAGATGGAGGGAGTCTTCATATGAGACGGAACCAAGTACGCTAGTGCCGCTCCCATTTTAAGTGTTTTTTTTTTGGGGTGAGGGTGGCTGTTACATCCTCCTTTCCTGATTTCTGAGATGTAATACAATCATGTAATAAAATTAATTTTTTTTGATTTGATGCATCCTTTTTTTCACTGCAATATTGGCTTTAGATTTGGCATGTGTGTTTGCGTATATCAGTATGTAGCACTAGAAGAAAACTATATATTTTGCTGTAAACTGAGGGCTGCTATGCCAAGGAGAAAGAACATCCTGTTTGTGGATTTTCAGACAACTGTGCTGCAACACCAAAGTGCGGCATAAGTAGCCTGTGACCGGAGGTATAAATATATTAGAGAATTAAATATACTTTCCTATATATAGAGTGTGTATGTATCCATTTCTTTGTGACTGATAGAGGTGAAAAATCCCCCTCTTAACCATCTGCTGCTGTGATAACAAATGCCACCAACACAGAGACAGTGATTCCACAGCCAGTGCTCAGGGCTGCTTCTAAACAAGACTCAATGCTTTTGTGCAGCCAATTTAAATTACATGTTGAAGTCATTTTACATCATTTTTCTTTTAGGAGAAGTTACACATCAGTGGAATTTTTGATATTTACACTAAATCTCCCTACACTAAAACCCCTTGGGCCCTACCCAGTTTTGAGTAAGAAAGACAATGAAAGTATGCCTTTAACAAAAATGATTATACACCAGTTTATAATGGCACTTTGGGCATGTTTAACAATATGTTTGTACTCTGAGGAAGACATTGTCGAAATGTCTATCGGCTTTTGTAATAAAGAAAAAATATAAGGAAAAAAAAATTTGTTTGATACTTATTAAGAAAGATATTCCTCTAAATAGTTTTTTTTTTTTTAAAGTGGTTATTTAAGCAATTTTGGTTGGTAGCTTCACCTACTAAAATGTTAATAGAAAAGGCCTCTCCTGAGTGCAGGTTTACCCTTTATTTTTGCAATGTGTCATAGTGACATCTACATGAAAGCCAGAACCCAAGGTTTCCCAGCAGAAGGTTGCCCATAGCCTCACACCACCTCCGCCAACTTGCCTTATTCCCAAAATGCATCCTGGTGCTTTTTCTTCCTCAGGTAAACAATGCACATGAACTCGGACGTCTCCATGATGTAACAAGAATTGTGACTCATCAGACCAGACCACCTTCCATTGCTCCATGGTCCAGTTCTGATGCTTACATGCGCAGTATAGGTGCAAGCTGTGATGCACTGTGTGTTCTGACACCTTTCTATCATAAACAGCATTAACTTTTTCAGTAATTTGTGCTACAGTAGCTTTCTTGTGGGATCAGACCAGATGGGCTAGCCTTCGCTCCCCATGCGCATCAATGAGCCTTGAGTGCCCTTTCATTGGTTCACCAGTTGGCCTTCCTTGGACCACTTTTGGTAGGTACTGACCACTGCAAACTGGGAACACCCCACAAGACCTGTCGTTTTGGAGATGCTCTGACCCAGTTGTCTAGCCATCACAAATTGGCCCTTGCCAAAGTTGCTCAGATCCTTACGCTTGCTCATTTTCCCTGCTACCAACACATCAACTTCAAGAACTGACTGGTCACTTGCCTCATACATGACGGCACCCTTGACATCTTTACAAAGATGCCATTGTAACGAGATAATCAATGTTATTCGCTTCACCTCTCAGTGGTTTTAATGTTATGGTTGATTAGTGTATACTGATAAAAAAATGGGAAAATGTCACTGACATCATTATTTTATATGCACTGAGGATAATTTTATCCGACAAACATCTTTTAGTCTCTCATTTAACATCCTCTTTTAATCATTTTGAAGAATTTTACACTTACTACTCCCCTAAGTACCTACCATCCTGTACGTGCTGGTGAGGTGAATAGTACAAATACAGGAGTGAGTCAGGTCTGGTATTTCAGCAATGTGAATGTATTGAAATGGCAGAGATTATCACTCTTATCATGGATCTTCTGTTGCTATCTTTCACAGCAGCACCAGGACATTATGGAAATGAAAAGGATCCTGAGGCTAATTGATGGTTCATGTGCCAGAACTGGGGCTGCATCTTGTGAAAATACTCTGAACTTGCTCCAGTCGAACAAGCACCCATTTGAATATGATCTCTATAACGTAGTAGTCCCATTACTAACGAATAATAAATGTTTACACGGTCTGTATCCTACATATTTGATAGGAATGTAGCCGCATATATTGTTTCATCCAAAGCAACCTGCAAAATTTGCTTCCACACCTAAGCTTATGTTTTCATAACGAGTGAAATTCTATAATAATGATAATATAATAACGACGTTACCCCTATCCTGTGCTTCCAAACGGCAAGAATTTTACAAATAAAAAGGGATCCCTATATATTCTGTTTCTTTAATTAATACAGAGTAACAGGCCTATTCGAAACCAGTGCGACTGAACGGCAAGCTAAACTTACAGTGCACATAACACACAAAATACTAATCACCACTGCGACTTTCAGTCGGAGTACTAAATCATTCTACATTGATTATTCGGAACAGTTCGGCACTGCATACTAACAAAGAAGGTTATTTGCGCAGTTAGCGCTCCTGTTTCACTTGGTGTATATCTTGTTTTATTAAAGCCCAACTGGTACTGCATGCACTATGGATCGATCCGTAGGTTCATTTCAATCACATTCGCGTCTTTGAGGTTTTGGGTGGGGTGGGAATATGCCGCTGTCCGGGGTCCTGAAGTCACGCATATTCCGCGCTTACACCAAGCGCTGTGTACGTGTGCAGTCCTCTCAGTGCCGTCGCGTTTGTTGCATCTGTGCATCAATCTCCATAGGCTATCTAAGCTTAATTTAATTCTGTACATACTGAGTGATCCGTCTAAGGTGTTTTCGTGGAAAAACACATGATCGCGCACTCACACACGCGATATTCTGTGTTGAGAGAGTGAGAAAAAATATATGGACTGATCATCAAGCTTCCCCCCCCCACGGCATCTTGTTTCGGTCCGAGTTGCCCTACATCCAAGCATCCTGCAAGAGAAAAAGACCGAGGCTGGATCTATGAGCCCGCATCTGGAGACAACGTGTGTTTCGCACAAATACGCCGAACGCCGGAATCACCATGTTATGCCCTTTGATTTGACGAGGTAGGCACGTTTGGTCACTTTGGTGGCTGTTTCGGGCGGTGAACGGCGTAGCCTGAAATACATATGGGGGACAGAATAGCTAATGACGGAGGTGAAAAAGCAATCGGGCGCATCAGTCTTACTGTTATTGCATTTTATTAGGAAGTGACGTTTTTAAAAGCTGCCCGTTTTCTTTGATCGGTTTTAAAATTACTTTCAATCCACAGGCCTGCTGGTAGGCTACTTGTTAAAAATGTTGCACTGATGCACAAAAAATATTGACTCAGTGTAAAAAATATGCAAGTACGTCCTATCCGAATGTTACTCGTTTGACTTGACATGTTTTGTTAGAGAAGCATTGATCTTTGTATTGATTTTACGAGCAGCATGTTTGTCGTAAAAGGGCACCTATTGTGTACTGTTGCGCTTTTATTTGAAGATGATACAAACGCGAATAAATAATACGACGAGTAAAATTGCACGGACGAAATGTGGACTCAGTTTTGCAAGCAGTACGAAAAGCTATAATATCACTGAATCTATGTTATCAGGCTAAGTGACTAAGGCACTGCTCCCCACTAAGTTCGGCAGGTTTCCGATGGAGAACTGTGGTCCTTCGTTGTAATGACATTATGGAAATTAAGACATTGGGCTGAAAAATTAAATTGCAGTTTGTGCAGCAAATATTCGTGTTTTTTTCCTAATCATCAACATTGCGTCCACTACCTTTGTATCACTAGCTCGAAAATGACCTTTGCATTAATCATTACTTGTTTGGACTACGAATTAGTAAATAAATCCACCGCGAATTGTACAGTTTATTCAAATTCAAAATTTAAAATTTTATTTTGTTTTTTCATATTTATTACAAACCACAATTTATATTTATTTGTGCATTTAGGCTACATTTGTGCATTGGTTATTCGGAACATTTGGGCGTTACTGATAAAAAAAAAATGTTACTGTCAATTAAAAACACCAATAGCACCAAATGCAGTGCGCATAAATATAACCATGTTTCCAGACTGTAAAGAAATGATTGAGTCTTTGAAATGATAGAGTACTTCTGAAAGCGAGTTCTGTTTATAACCTTGGATCCTGTGTCTTGCTCGTTAAAATCCAAAGGGTATTGGTATCTGTTGCACTATTAAAGATAACTTTTATTAAGATAACAGAACGACATCATCAACAACAACGACAATATCAACAACAATAATATAATCACCTTACAATATCTATACAAAGCAACTTCTTGAGTTTATGATTATTTTAAAGATTGGTGTGTTTGATTTAAAATGTAGCTATTGTGTTAGAAAAGTTAGAAAGGAAAAACATTTCAAGATTTGTGCAAAACGTCGCCCTTCATTGTTTACCCAAAGAAGCACTGAGCTCCAGTGGAGAAGAATGTCTGGTTTTCTATAATTTTGCACTTTGCGCGTGTATATGAGGGTGTGTGTGAGCGTGTGCGCGCGAGTGTGTGTGCGCCTGAGCGCGAGACAGACGCGTGTCCAGTCCTGTCAGCACGTGCACATGGGACCCGGCGCAGCGCTGAGCAAGGTTGCCTAGGGAATACCCGGGCCAAAGCAGCGAAAGTAAACAGGAGACTGGCGATAAGCATAAACCCTCCCTTGTGGACACCTCACCTTCTTTAATTAATATCCGCCCTGGAGACTCGGGGGGTCGGGGTGGGGGGAGGCAGGTGCCCTGGCCTCGATCGCTTCCCTGGGTTACATCGCAGTTAGCGAGGCGGCCCACGGTCGGCGGTAAAATATGGAGCTTTACAACCGATGACATTTACACTCATGTGTTTGGCAGATATTAAACAATGGTGCGTGGCTTGATAAGTAAAAGACCTTAACTACACATCCGGTTAAACAGGGTACCCTTTCGCACAGGAAGCAGCCACGTACGCTGTCGCTGATGTTAAAAACAGCCTCAGTGGTTGGAAAAAAAGTCATTGGTTTTAAAGGGCTGATTCCACAACTCTATGTTTCCTCTAACTACGATGTACGAGAACCATTCAGTACGTATTTGTATAACTGGTATGTGTGACACGTATTTTAATAAATACCAAATGTCCCCAACAATGTAATAAAACCCTGCATTTTTGACGTTGTGGCCACCATTTTTTCGGGTCCCTACAAGGACTGTGAATGAAATAAAAAAAGTAAAAACGCCTAAAGTCTCGTATATTGTTTGGTTACTTATGGTTATGGTTAGGGCTGGGTAGGGGTTAAGGTCTTCATGTTGTGATTAGAGTTTTCCCCATAGAAATGAATGGAGAGTCCTCACAAAGATACAATTACAAACCTGTGTGTGTGTGTGTGTGAACAAATGGGTGGATTATAGATGCTGCATGGATGGGCATTACGCAGGGTAAAATCTGAAATGTCATTAAGCAGTTTTTTCAGGACTTCCATTTAGTTTCTGTGTCTTTCAGTAACTTGTAGGAATCTAAATCATCAAAGTTATGTTACTGTGGCTGAAATACAGTAAAATCTGCAGTGTTGATTTTAACTCGTGTCATTGCTTTCAGTAGTTCAAACTCTCCAGTTACTTTACTCATTTGTTTACCCCATATAAATGTCTCTTAAGTTCACACAGAGGCATCCCGTGAGAGCAGGATTTCATTAGTTTATTTTGCCTTAATTAGATGGTTTCTCCAAAGTATTCCCAACTGCTGTTTTAATTAATTATAATTCAGTGTAAAATGCACATATGCCTTTGTTTAGAACCTGGAGGGGTATTGTAAAACTTTGTTAAAATTCCCCTTTAGGTTTTGGATTTTGTCTTGTACAAAAATTTTGTGAGACTATTATTAAGTTTAAAAAGAACGTACAGAATATTTTTACTCTAATGCCCTGGTAGGTGTACTCATTTGGGCATTTTTGATACAAAAAATATTTTATATCATATCCACAAATAATAAATTGTAGAATCTGTCTGAGAGGGAAATTTCTGTAAATGTTCTAATGCCACTGGTTAAGTTAAAGCTGTAACAGAGCTGTTATTCATGGATGAGTACAAAGATAAACAAATCATCATGGAAGACTACCTGCATCACTGCATATAAGATGCAGATAAATTATTCATCAGGTAGTTACTTCTGTTATATTATCTTTTTCTTTCTTAGAGGACGTATTCATTCAAAATATCTTACAAAGGCTCCAGTTTACCAGCAAAGTCCACAAAAGACCAACAAAGGCTGTGTACTTTCATTAAGGGAGTGGGGTTGCATCAGAAGCATCTGCACCTCTACAATGGAGACCTGAAACGCAGATCTCTGTGCTAGTAAATCCGAGTCTGCGTGTGGCTGAGCTACGCTAGCACTATAGTAGACTGTAGTATTTAGGGTGACCTGTAGTATTCCACAACATCATTTATACTGTCTTTGACAGTTAAGATTTGGACCCTTAATCTATGGTATAACAGCATCTTACCTTGGAGTCAGAACTGCAGCCAACTTCAGTTACACCTGAATAGGTGTCTTTTTGTTACCATGAGGAGGACAAGAAAAAAACCTCTCAGATAGATTGAATATGTTTATTGTGTTTCATAAATCTGAAGTGAGATGTCCTTCTACCTTTTTCTGCAGGTCCTATTCAATACAAGAAGAGAAAAGATGGTGTATGCCCACTCGACGGACACCACAAAGCCATCTCTGCAGTCTACTTCCATCACTCCTTCAGTGTTCTTCAACTCCAGTGAGGGGGACAATGCGACCTCCTGGCCCAGTGTCTCGAGCCTGCCTGATTGCCCCCGACAGGGTTCCCCTACCATTCCCAGTCCTAATGGCTCCCTCCCCTCATACACATTGTTGCCAGGAGAGGTGGTCCCTCTTGGCCTTGCTCTTGGAGCTCTATGGCTGGTTTCGGTGTTCGGCAACGCCTTGGTCTGCCTGGTCATCCACCGTAGCCGCAGGACCCAGTCTACCACCAACTACTTTGTGGTATCGGTGTCATGTGGGGACCTGCTGATGAGTCTGGGCTGCACCCCATTCACTCTGCTGCAGGTGATCTCCGGACAGTGGCCGTTGGGTAGTGGCCTATGCAAGGTGGTGCGCTACATCCAGTACTTGGCCCCTGGCATGCAGAGCTATGTGCTGCTATCCATCTGCCTGGACCGCTTCTACACTATCGTCTACCCGCTCAGCTTCAAGGTGTCCCGGGAGAAAGCCAAGAAGATGATCCTGGCATCATGGACCTTCAACGCAGCACTCGTGTCCCCCTGCTTCTTCTTCTATGGCTCATCGATGCACAGTCACTGTAACTTCTTCCTCCCGGGTGGCTGGGACGGCATTCTCTATGGCATGGTACACTTGCTCTTTGGTTTCCTGCTGCCTATACTCCTCATACTCCTGTTCTACCAGAAAGTGGTAAAGTACATCTGGAGGATTGGTACAGATGGACGCACAGTGAGGAGGACGATGAACATTGTTCCCAGGACTAAGGTCAAGACCATTAAGATGTTTCTTTTGCTCAATGCTGTCTTTCTTGTAACCTGGATGCCATTCTACATTGCCCAGCTGTGGCACCCCAGTGAAGATGGCTCACAGCAGGGCGTATCTTTCTTCATGGCCATCACTTTGGTCTCCTTCAGCTCCTCTGCCTTCAAACCCACGCTGTACTGTGTTTACAATGCTAACTTCCGGCGGGGCATGAAGGAGACCTTCTGTATGTCGTCCATGAAGTGCTACCGCAGCAATGCATACACCATCACCACAAGCTCCCGGATGGCCAAGAAGAACTATGTGGGGATAGTGGAGATCCCCGCCCTGGCACAGCATAGGTCCGTCACCAAGGACTCCATCTACAGCACCTTCGACCGTGATGCGAAGGAGAAGAAGTTGGCGTGGCCTATCAACACCAACCCACCCAACACATTTGTGTGATTGCAGTCACACACTCAAAATAAAGGTTTGCAAGGATCCTCTATGCCTGCCATTGCACTGCTAGAGGTTCTACTCCTGTCCATTTTCATTCACATTTCTACATTTCTACAGTCTACAGATAAAAAGGCAAATAAAACACTGAATCAGGTGTCCGTGCCTCCAGTTCCCCTTGAGCTAACAAGCTAACACGCTATGGGATTTGATATTAGCGTAGCAGGAGTGTTTATTTTCAGAAGCAATTCAGTGCTTTGCTCATGGTCACATCACCCACTTACCACAAACTTCAGAACACAAGTCCAGTTTCCTCACCACCAAACCACTTTCTGCTGGGCTGGTATCTTTGGTCTTCGTTGATTGTAATCAAGCTCATGTTTTTTTTTTTTTTTTAATGTCAGGCTGAAATTAACTCTGTATAAGTTGCACTCCAGTCGCCTACAAACACAAGGGGCTGGAACGTGTCACACTACGTTTTCCATTAAAACTGGAAGAAGGATTGAAGGCACCGCTGTGATCCAGAATGACAGTACAGACCATGGTGGAAGTGATCCAAGGGTCTTGGTCTTTGGCGCCTCTGTTTCTGTTATCACAGGTTGAAAGTCACAGCTAAATAAAAAGTAACACCACACTGCTCTCCCATAGTATGGATTTGAGCTAAAGTGGAATAGAATACATACATTGGAATAAATGGGAAATGCATGTAGGAGCCCCACCCATGGATAATACCATCTCTAGCTACATATGGTGGGGGGGTGCTTACTGTTATGTTTGACAGAGCAGCCACTTGTGTTACCGCGAGCCGTCGTCCCCGGTGTCCGTCTCTCTCAGTTGTGTATCTCTGGCACCTGCGCATATATGCATCTGTGAACATGAGCAGCTGGGAAACAAATCTTTCACCATACAGGCCTACAAATGAGAGGACGGACATTTTAGGAATCTTTTTTAGAAGCAATTTTACACGCACACATTATGTAAGTCTCCCATTGGACAAAAAAGAATAAATAGATTATCTTCTGGAGGGCAGTGTTGTGTGTTGTATGCATTGATGCTGTATTGTTCTGTAGTGTGAATGGGCAGTGCTTAATTTGTAATCCCTGTTATTGGCCACGCTGTCACGCATGTGTACGTGCGTGATGTGGGAATTCGTGGCGCACACCGGGAAAATGAGGCTCCCAGAAAAACAGTGTAATTCAAACCCTGGGCAGACGTATGTCAAAAAAATCATACAACACAACCGATTTTATGAAAAAAAAACACTTCTTTAGTTCAATTTGTATTTATTCCAAAGTTTAACTCAAATGAATTGTAAGTTGAATTATATTGCGTTCTGCGTTTGAGGTGGTGGAGCGCAGCTGAACTCTGGCACAAAAAAAAAGCACTGTGGATGTGTAGAGTCACTGCAAAGTCGGCTCTGGTACCTCTGCAGTGACATGATTGGTCAAACTCCCATTGCGGCTCATTGGTTTTTCCGTATAGCTCTGGGCCAACACAAACCATGTCAACCCACAACATGGATTCTGCCCCTTGCTTCTAAAATAGCTGTAAGGGGAATGCTGCTTTCATGCGATGGTGCAGAGGCAAAAATGAGTACAAGTGTAGAATATAAATAAACTGCTGGTTCTCTGCACGTGCTTTAGCTTACTCTGAAGCAGCCCCAAATGTCCAAAAACAGAAATAGCACAAAGTGCACGGTACCAGCAGCCGCCGGGACCGCACTGGAACGCATCAGCCTCAAGATGCACCTACCTGTTACATGGTCAGTGTCAGCACACTCACATTCTCACGCATAGGAGTTTCCCTCAACACAACGAAACCAAAACAGGTTCCTCAGGGTTTACTGCAGTGTTAACAAAGGGCCTGTATTGTTTTCAGCACAACTGTAATGTTAAAGCTATCACATTTTTATTTCTTCGTATTAAGCCAGCGTTTACATTTCAGCAAGACAGTTGGGGCAGCACTTTGTCCGGAAAATCCATCTAAATGCCTGCAATCATGATTGTAAGTGAAACGTGTCACTCAAACATTTATTACATTAAGAATGAATCTTGATAATGTCCACAGATTATCTGCCATTAGGCTCTAGGTGCTGTGCTGTTCTTCCCCCACCCACACTTATCAGCCAATAGCAACGTTTCTCAATAAGGGTCATTGCGTAGGATGGAGATGATTGGACAAGCAGAGTCAGTTATACTGCAATCTGCATAAAGGTTGTATACTATAGTGAATCAGATGTTATTTTTCTCCACTAGCAGACATTTTTCTCCACTAGAGGAATGAGGTAAAGACTAATTTCATGAAGAATTCTTGCAACAGCAATGTGTAAAGTCCTGCAGTCCCATCATACAAATTAGGATGAAGAATTTGAAGTTTCAGGCAATTCATGACCCGTCTTGAAATTTGTAGTTCTTCAGAGAATCTTCCTGAAAGCTTCTTTATGCATTTGCAAGAGTATTTTTTTGAGAATCCTAATGTATAATCACTTTTGTATACGGTCCTGAACATTTGAAAAATTGTGCACATTTTCCCTCAGTTGGTCATGCTCAATGACAACATATTTGCTAACGCTATGCATAACTAGATGAACATTTAAATGTACGAACATTTAAAATGGTTTCTTAATGGTTTATTTTTTAAGAATGTGATCACAAACAACATACAACATGAACTTCTTAAGGGGATGTAAATAAATATACATAAATTTAACTGTAGAGTCCAAACTCAGCGATACAATTAAATTAATCAGTCAAAAAAAATAGAATTGGGGGACCAGAAAATGCCCTTAGATATCAATCACTTCAAAAAAGGGCCAAAAAGACACAGCAAGATAAAACAATATGAGACAGCAAGAGTGAAACCTTTTGGAGTACAAACATAACGGCAACACGCACACACAATCCTTCAAGGACACTTTGGCATTTCCCCATTACCCCATATAGTACGAGAACCCCGTTTTTAAAACATAGTTTTAACGTCTGTTCAGTTCTCATAAGAGGAAATAAATAAATACCATCAAATCTGGGGGATTTTTGAACAGACAAGCATGACGAAACCAAAAGAAAGAAATGCCAACTGACAGCTGCTCCCTTTCTTCAGGCCCCATGCAGCTTAGTAGTTATTGCCACTTATTACCACAGAAAATAGGTGCAAGAAGTGTCTTCACCCTTCCTTTTGGATCCCAGCTGATCCCTCTCTCTCTCTCCATCATTTTTAATTACAAATACAACGCTGATGAACAACAAAATCTTATACTGGCTACAAGGTAACCAGAGGCTTAACTTTTTTTTTCCAAAATGTTATGGTTCGTCTATAGCTAACGTGAAAAGGTTTAGTGTGCACAGTACAGCACATAGCTTTTAGCTGTGTTGTGAGAGCACATACACATAATGAAACACAGGGAACGTTCGGTCATGATTAAAGCTCCTTTTTGTATAGTACGATCACAATGCCTTTCCATCAAGCCTCTCTGTCCTTGGAAGGTTAACAGTGAGCTCATTTGTACAGATATATACATACATGAAATCAGATGGAGGGAAACGTTAACAAAACTCTTTTAGTGCAATTTATAGTAACATAATAACATACATAACACAAAAACAAAGGCTAGGAAAAAAAAATGTCAGCGTCGATCACAGTTATTACCCATTTTCTTTGTTAACTCAGTGTGGTCTTCAGTTCTTGGACATATCTCTTTTGGCACTCAAGCAAGTGGATCATCACAAAGTGTATTTTTTTTCTAAAAAAAAAAACAAAAAAACAAATTGACCTCTCGTCCTTGTGCCAGTAAAGGAGCATCTCAGAAAAGGACAATAGTCCATACTTGCGTGAAGTGGGGGAGTCACGAGGACGAGAGGCTGGAGCCCTGGGCCAGCGGCCGCGCCCGCATTAAGGTGACAGAAGTGTGGCTGGCCGTCTCTGGTCATTCCTCCTCTACAGAGCGGGCCTGCCTTCTCTAGGTGCATTTGTGCGTTCGTCATTGATCCGCATGTGTACCAGAGGCCTGGATTTCAGACTTCACACACGCTCGACTGCCCCCCACCACACACACACTGAAGAGAGACTTCCTTTCAGTGAGTCTAATTAAAAAAAGCATGTCTGCTGCTCACGTACCTCCTAGGCCTTTACAAAAATAAGTTCTGCTTCCACACCTACTCAGCAAGAATGGACATCTGGACAAACTAGGTCACCACTGATTTAAAACCTTACACACATCATTTATAAAACAGCTTCCACAAAGTTTTCCAGAGTATGGACCACACTACGGCGAAAGGTTTTCATTCCTAACAGGAATATAGCTAGAGTTGTCTACTCATAATAGCAAAATATAGCATCCGTTAGCAGATTTAGTCTGCCTTCCACATAAAAAATTATCATTTCTATGATACAGAAGCCTTATTAGCATACAAATGCACACAGTGATAGAGAAAACATAAGGTAAAAAAACAGGCTAACAGTAAATTTACACATCTTTACAAAGTACCTTCATTATCGCATGCCCACTCTTTTATATCAGTAATTTCGAACAACGCAGCTTTAACTGACTAGTCAACTTACATCCAGCTCCTACAAATATCGTAACAGAAACCTGTGCAATATACAAACTCTACAGTGCAAAAGAGACTACTGTGAAAAACACACGCAAAGGCAGAGTTTTCACTGTCACCTCAAAGGCTTTTGCTTACACTTGTCCACCCTAAACCAGCTTACTCTGCCCATTACTGGCTGTGTGACCCTTTCCATTCTTAGGAGGCTTGCTGGTGCTTTGGGACGTCTTCTGCTCATCTCCCGTCAGCAAGGCCTTGATTTCGGATGGGATCTTCCCCTGGTCCATCGCAGAGCACCACTGCTTGTACTACCACACAAACAGGAGGAGAGAGAATATTCTTGGAAGGGAAAGCCACTGCTGAGCCACATCTCTCTCTTAAGTTCTAGTCCCAGATAAGCATCCAAAAATGACCGGTCACACATCTGGATGAAGATGTCTATCAAATGTGTAGTTTTGGTTTCAACATCCGTAGGGACCAAATCAGCCCTGAGTCCCCAGTCCCTTAAACACACACAGTACTCCCATAATGGTAGGAGACAAGTCCCTACCATCCATACCCAAACTGACACCTATCATTCAAGTGTGATATACCAAGACTGCCATCCCTGCTCAGTCCTACCATCTCCAGTTCCTCCCGCAGCGCACAGATGGCCCTCTCTTTACTGGACACCAGCTCTTCCAAATACTGGTAGCGCAGCTTCTTGCGGGCCCGGCACTCCCGTGCGCTCTGCCTGCTCCGCTCCAGCTTGGCTTTCAGGTCGATTTTGGCCGGCTTACGTCCACGCTTGCCCGGCTTCTTCACTTTGCCGCCCACCATCTGCATCAGGCACAGGGCTCGTCATGTGTTTTTCCTAACTTTAACTGTAACAATTAAGGTTCCTGCTTTGCAGGCTCCGGAAGCATCGGATGTTTCCAACAGCTCGACTATTTTTGGCTGAAAAACAGCGCTGTTGAAGAACATCGCGTTTTGCTTCAGTTTTGCACGCTTGCATCCTCATTAGCGGCTAATTCTAAACGCACACGACTTTCCGTGAGCCAATGTTTCAGCAGATCTCAGCTGTGCTACCTGACATGTACTGCAAAATCTACATCTAATACACGGAAGATCAGGTAGTGAATTTATGCAGATCCTCGAAAGCCAACGGCCAGATCTATTATACTCCGGACTTAAACCAACCCCGTCAATGATAAGTAGGTCAGTGATCGGCCTGCATAGCTGCCTTTATTTTCTTACCTTGCTGTCGTCCATTTTGGACTGCTCCGGCAACCAAACAGATAACTATCCCGACAAAATGCAACAATGACCAGCTGAACTTACCACGTTTGGTTTATAGGAGAACAGCTTATCTTTTACTTAACGCTCACAGATATGACACGTAAGATATACGATATAACAGGCTGCTTCTTGCATGTCAACAACATTCCTCCCAATCCTTTTATTGCCCTCGTCACTTCCTGTTATGGTTACGTCACACAGGTCAAGCACTCTCGGACTTATGGGTATTGGAGTGTTCCGTTGCATGCTGGAAATGTTTCCCGTTCCTCCATTTATCAAAAGTATTGAGCAAAAAGCAAATTATATACGCTAACGCTGGTAAAATGGAAATTTGCATCTCTTAAAACTGATTTGGTTCTCTTTTTTATTGGCAAACTAGAGTCTTTGATATTTAAGTTGTTAATTTCTAATTCTTATTTTTTTCTACAGTACCTGATAAGAATTTGTACACAATATAGTATAAATGTATACATTGCTTTATACAAGATAAAGAAATAATGCAAAATTCATGACGACAGATTTTATTCTTCATGAACGTCACACCTGTTAAAGTGATAGCACCCCAGATGTCTTATAAATGATCGATGTATGTGAGAAAAGGCTGGTCAGACGCTCTCTGAGTGAACCGTTCACAAAAGCGAAGCAGTCTGATGATTGCCATGGTAAATATGGCTACAGAGTACAATAGGGTGCATTGAGAAATCTCACAGGCATCAGGGCACAAACATCTGGCAGGAAAACAACAGCCCACCATTGTTGTGGGAATATTAGGACGGGGCAGAGGTGGGGAAGCTGTGGGCAAGTCATGTGAAATTCACAAAATGTTTTGGGCTCAGTGTTGCCCACAGGTCTGGCCCTGGAAGTCACTCTGCCCATCAAACAGAAATGCATGTGCTATAATTTTAGTAGTGTTTTTGGTGAGGCATATGGACCACTAGTGAAACACCAGAATTCAGATTTAAAATAATCTTTTTTAATTTGGAAAAGAATCTATTAATGTCATAACTTCACTTTGGGAAATTCCATCTGATTCTGAACCACAGAATACACCAAATCATTAATTGTACCCCTGCCTTTTGCCCTGGGATGGACTGACTTCCTATCCAGGGTTCACCCCTGCATGGACAAGACTGTGTGTTTTCTCCCTGGATTTCCTCTCGGTGCTTTGGTTTCTACCAATGATCCAAAAACATGCAGTTATGCAAACTGTTGTCTCTCGGCTGCCCATAGTTGCTACAGTAATCTTTAGTACTTCATTGTATTGTTCTTGTATGTTGTGCAGTCGTTATGTAAGCAATTTCCTTTGGGATTAATAAAGTTTTCTGATTTCTGATAGTGAATGTGAATGTGTGCGTGCGTGTGAATTGGCATCATGCTCATCAGCAAAAGTGCTTAGAAACCACAGAATCTGTTGCTTAATCAAAATGTTAACATTTAACAAACATTTTAACATGACCAGATAAACACCTTGCAGTGTTTAGCTTAACCGCCCCCCAAGCTGTCCTCCATAGTATTTCGAGTGGAACGTTTCTTACGATGTGGTCACCCTTTCTCTGTAATTCAAAGAATGCAGTCCAGGTGAGGTAGTGCCTTCCCTGTTACATGACTATGCAAGAATGTGCAATTGAATAAGCACCCTGCTATTCTCCGACCTTCCAGTGTGTCTCATTTTATGAGATGCCTGACATCTTTATCAACATAAATGGATAAGCAGTTACTGAAAATGGTAGATGAAAAATATCTACCAACGATTGAACACTGTCTGTCTGGTCACACATGGTGGGTATGTGTGCATAATATATATATATATATATATATATATATATATATATATATACACACACTCACCTAAAGGATTATTAGGAATACCATACTAATACGGTGT